TTCCGATTCTAGGAAACGCATGTTGCCGAAAAACCGCACCCACTGGGCTAGACTTGTGCTTCTCAAAATTCGAATTGAGAATGTCGGGGAACGCGGTTCCCCACGTGTCGAATTCCGAAGTATGGGAAACGCAATTTCTGTTGAAACCAGAACACTCAATGGGCTGGACTTGCATTTTACAAGGTTTCGAATTGCGGGAAACGCAATTTCTTTTGAACCAAACGCATCCAATGGGCTGGAAGTGCGTTTCTCACAAACCGAATTCTGAGCTTCGGGGGACGCGGTTTCCCATAATTCGAATTCCGAATTGCTGGGGACGCAAATTCTCTGAACAGCCGCATTCAACAATGTGCTGACGTTGCGTTTCCCGCAATTCACAAACAAGGGAAACCCACATCCCTTGAACAACTGCACTCAATGTGCTGGAACTGCGTTTCCCATAAACCGAATTCGGAATTTCGGGGAACGCGGTTTCCCATCATTCGAATCCCGAATGATGGGGGAACGCAATTCCTATTGACAAGCCGCATTCAATGGGCCGGAATTGAGTTTCCCATAATTCGGATTCTGAATTTCGGGATGCGCTGTTTCCCATACTTCGAATTCCGAATTTTAGAAAACGCAATTCCCCTTGAACAACCGCACTCAATGAGATGGAGTTGCGTTTCCCATAATTCCGAAGTGTTGGAAATCAATTTCCTTTGAAACAACTGCATTCGGTGGGCTGTAACTGCGTTTCCCACAGTTCGAATTCGGAATGTCGGGGAACTCGGTTTCCCATTATTCGAATTCCGAACTATGGATCATGGATCGCAGAGCCAGCCCATAGAGTACGGTTTTTCAGTGGAAATTGCTTTTCCAATAATTCGGAATTTGGGGAAACACAGAGCCAGTTCTTTGAGTGCGGTTTTTCAAAAAATGCGTTTCCCATAATTCTAAATTCGAGTTATGGGAAACCGCGTTTCCCGAAATTCGGAATTCGAATTATGGGAAGCGCAAAGCCAGCCCATCGAGCGCGGTTGTTCACAAGAACTTGCGTTTCCCACAACTCGAAATTAGAATTATGGGAAAACGTGTTTCCCGTGCAATGTGTCCTTTGGGTCCGGGCCTGCCCTGCGATTTACGGGAAACGCAATTTCCTTTGAGAAACCATACTCCATGGGCTGGTATTGCGTTTCCCATAATTTTCAATTAAACGCAGACCCAGACGACTGCCAGTCCGCGTAGCTCCCTCAGGGTGTATCCCAGGGTGTCCCTCCTTTCCTGAGCGGCCTAATTCTCCTTCGAAAGAGCCAGGGGGTTGGAGGAGACAAATTGCCTGCGATCTGAGGCCACTCCGGCAAAGGGTCAGGGGGAACTCCTGGAAGCAGGGGGCGGCTGAGGGCCCAGAACGGTGCGGCGGCAGACCGTGCGGTGACCTCGGAGCCCCCAGACGGAGAGCGGCACCAGGTCACAGCACCGTGCGGCCACCCCGGATCCCCAACACAGTCAACCCGTATAGCAAGGACGCAGGAGGAGGATGCAAGGGCCTCGAAGGCCATGTCGGCACTTTGCGAGTTGAGCGCGGCCAGCGACAGCGGCCAAGGATTGGCCGACAGGGAAGGATGCAAAGATAACCTGGGAAAATCGCACATCCTTACTATGCGGGTTGACTGTAATCAGGAGGGAAAGAAATACACAGACACAATTCGTCGGCGATTCCCCAGAAAATATGGGAAAATATGGGAAGTGGGGGGGAAGACAAAAACCCAGAAAATATGGGGAAATATGGGGAAGCCTTTTATTTGTGTGTATTTATTTGTGTGTCCCAGGGCCCCTTCATGTAACTCACCACAAGGTATGGTCACCGTAACGCCCGGGGGCCGGGGAAGCTCCCGTGGGGCCCCTGGGAGGCCCTGGACGCTCCAGTGGGTCGCCTGGGAAGCCGTCCCCCGGGGGCGGGCCCGCAGGAGTTTCGGTGTTGCCAACAGAGGATACCCTGGCCACTTGGAAATCGCTGGGAGGCTCCCTGGGAGGCCGAGGATGCTCTGGAAAGCTTGGGAGGGTCAAGGAAGCCCCTCGTGCGCTCCAGAAGGACCCTGAGACGCCCCGGGCGCTACTCGGGGGCGTCCCAGGGAGGATCCGCAGGAAGGTTGCGCAGGATTGCTGACAATGACGCCCTGGGATGAGAACAGATCCAGGGGGAGCTCCTGTCAGGCTTGGGATGCTCTGGGAAGCTCGGGGGGTGGGAGGGGCGACACGGGAAGCGGAGAGCTTCGGATGCCCCAGGAGGCTCCTGGGAGGCATTCCCACCGATGGGAGGGCCCGCGGGAGGATGGTGCAGGGACTGCAAATGAGTGACTCAGGATTCGGTCAACCCTTGGGAGCTCGAGAGGTCGTCGTATTGTGTGCATCAGCGGGACGCGAGGGAAGCCTGCAGCCATTACCATTTTGCAAACATGCTGTTTCTATGCTGTATGCTCTTGCATGCCACTTCAAGTGTAAATTTTACGAGTTGACGAATCAGATGGGACGCACGAGGACATGGTATCATATGTCCTCCTTGGAACAGTGCGCCCGACACGAACATCAAATATAACCATCTCGTAGTAGATCGTTTTCCGAGCGGTATGGCCAGAAAGCGTCCGCCACGGAGCTTGTACTATAAGATTTCTCGGCGCACGCGTCGCCACTGGGGGGGCGACGCACACCTAGTAATTGTCGGGTGACGCCGATCATCTGCCGATGCACCGTCTGGGCGCGGCCTTTCCTGTCCTATCCCTCTCCGGGAGCTCGAGCCCTCCCTTCCCAGGGGATTCCCAGGACCTCCGAGGGGGCTCCCCAGGGTCGCAAGACGACCCCCAGGAGGGGCCCCGGGAGGATGCCCGACGCTGTGCAGGGGGGGGGGGGGCGGGGATCACAGCATGGGTGCGCTGGGACGCTCCTCCTCGGAGGCTCCTGGGAGGCCAGCTGGGAATTTCTGGGGAGCCTCCCAGCTCGGGGAGCACATGTGAAGCCTCGGGGAAGTCACGCTTGGGGGGGGCTCTTGGGACGCTCCTCGCCGTGGGAGGCACTGGAAGGTCCCCGAAAGGCCTCTGAGAGGCCCGTGGGAGGCCAAGGGGAACTCCCTGGGAGCGTCTGGTAAACCTGGAAGGCTGGCCCTCGGAACACCAAGTCCAGACAAGAAAAACAATTCCTGCTACCGCCTGGGAAACCTTGGCCCCGCTGGGCAGCCTCCTCCCCTCCCTAGGCGGGGATGGGCGCCGTCTCTTTCGGGTTCCGCGGCGCCCATCCCCACCTAGAAGATTGGGTGTCATGGGAGGGCCCCGACTCACCCTGCCCTTGTGGGGGCAGGGATGGTCCTGACGATGATGACGCCCGGGCTCGATTCCAGCGGCAGCCTGGCTGGCTGCAGCCGACAGACCTTGCAAGCCGAGGGGCCCACGGCGCACCCCGAGAGAGAGAGGGCGGCGCACGATCCGAGAGGCATCCCGGCGACCCTCGGGCCTCCGCTCTGGCAGGCCTCCAGTTCTCTCCGGCTCCTCCCTGGCACATCTGAGCGGCAACAGGAGGCGGGTCTGGCGCGAGAAGATGTAGCGACCTTCGCGGCTTGCGCGGGCCGCTGTCGTCGCACGCCGCGCGGACAACATGGCGCTCGCGCGCGGCCCTACGCGGGAAGCTGACGGACGAGTGTCCGAGCAGTCGACCCCGTTTTCACGCTGAGGGCCCCTTCAGCGCATGATTCGAGACCTCTGGCAACTCTCGGACCCACGCTCTGGCAGATCTCCGCTACCAGTCTGACCCTCCAAAGGCACATGTGTGACAGTGGAGTCCGCTGAGAGACCCTGTGGGTCATTCGAACACCTTCGATCGAAGCCAAGGAGGATGCCTCTGCAGTCCCCGCGTTGGGCTGCCCCAGTGGCGGTGCCCTCCGTACTAGGGGGGGCGAGCAGTGCCGAGCCGTGAGGCGATGCAGACTGCTTCGGAGCCGCTTGGGGAGCGCTCCTACCTCCTCCTCCTCCTCCTCCTCCTCCTCCTCCTCCTCCTCCTCCTCCTCCCCCCATCGTTTTCTCTTATGATCGACGAGCGCGTTCCGCTACTCGCAAAGTCACTACTCGCAAATGGCCTGGATCCGCCATGGGAGATTTACGATCAATTGCATCGGTGCAGACAGGCGTCTTTCGGACGTTCGCGAGTAGGCACTTTGCGAGTACTGGAACGCGCTCGGCGATATGAACAACTCCTCCCTGTCCTACCCCAAGACGTGTCGGCAGGGCGGGGCCGGGCCTTTCGCCGGAGACTCCCTCGCTGTCGATGATCCTGAAGCGTTTCATTTGCAGCATGTTCACCGTCGGAGGGCGGGCCGGTTTCAAAACGCGGATCTCGCCCAAGCGCCACGCGCACTCGTCTGAAACATTTGCAGCAACAACTTCATGGATGGAGGACGGGTCGTATCATCATGACGCTCTCGCCTTAGCGCCGCGCGCACTCGTCAGATGCGTTTGCAACAGTTTCAAGGGTTCGCATGGTCGAAGTCCCAGGAATGGTGTTACGACGCGACTTAAGAGTATCCGAATGAAGCAGTAACGTTGAATCGCGGTGCTGAAGTCCCAGAAATGGTGTTCTTGCAAGGTCTAGGATTGCCAGGACGCAATATTCACGTTGATCCGAGGCGTTGAAATCCCAGGGATGGTGTTTTGGCACGATGGAGAATTCTCACACGGGTGTCTCCAAATGAGCCACTTCCCGCAACGACAGTCAAATTCCTTTAGGGCCCTACGACAAGGGAACTTGGAGGGAGGGTTTCCTTCAACACCGTTAAGGCGCCTTAGGTTTGCACCGGTCCTCCTTCTCCTCCTGCTCATCCCCCTCCTCCTTCTCCTCTCCTTCCCCCTCCTGTTCCTCCTCCTCCGCCTCCTCATTCTCCCCCTCCTCTCCGCCTCCTCCCCCTCCCCCTCCCCCTCCTCTTCCTCCCCTCCGCCTCCTCCTGCTCCTGATCCTCCTCCTGCGAGACCGTCCGCCTGCAATCCGATGGTAAGCGCGTTGATCAGCAACACCATCCCCATGGTTTGGTCGAAGAAGTCACTGTGCACCAGGCGCCGGCACGGCTCGAAGAAGCACCTCTCGTGTACTCCTTCGGTGGATGACAGCCGCCCACCTGTGCATCATCAGGCCCCGAATGCTTCCAACGCGTCGAACATGGAATTTACTTTTCGTCACCCTCTGCGACTAATGGGGGGCCTCTTCAGGCCCCAAGGCTGTCAGGGAACGACCAGGGATCAACAGCTGGCCCTCAGGGGTCGAGAGGTCTCGGGGTCGCGCAGGGTGGAAAAAACACGACATGGGAGGTTTGAATCTCTTCCTCCATTGACTTCCGGCGTCGTTAAAAAGACAACAGGCGTTTCCGCCCCGTTTCGGGCCGGGGACCCTCACGAGCGTCAAGGCCGAGGGCTCGACAGCTCCAACGTGCAAAGAGCACGAGGTCGAGAGCTCTAGTCGTGATCTGTTCACGAAGGCGTAGCTTTTCAGAACGTCGCATGTGTGGGTCTTGGATCTCCTCCTCCTCATCCTCCACCTCCCACTCCTCCTCTCCCTGCCAGGCCGATCCTGGGCCAACCATCGATGGACGGCCCCTCCTGGCCTTGCCAGGGAAACGCACACACACAGATCTCAGACCCAGGATCGGCCTAGCCAGGATCGGTGTGGCAGGATACTTTAAGTCTCCCGGTGTCCGAAGACGCTCCTGAAGCCCTGCTGGTTCCGTATCCACTTTTGGATGGACTCGTTCGTGGACTCCCTCTTCAGGATGGTCTTGGCCCCCCTGCTCGCCTGCGCGTTGCGCTGCATCCGCTCCAGCTTCTGTTCGAAGAGCGCCGTGCGGCTCTTGGTGATCGTCTGCCGGGCCGTCTCGCCAGGGCCGCTGGAGGAGCCGAACAGCGAAGTCGTGCGGACTCGGGCGAGCTTGCCTTTCTCGTTCGGCCCTTCGCCCACGTCGAAATTCACGCTCGCCTTCTCTGTCGAGCTCTTCTCGTGTGGTGATCCGGGTGAGCAGAAGACAACACTGGCATACACTTTCGGACGTCCGCGCGGATTTCTGGGGCCACAGCTGGACTCCGCTACGGCTGGACCAAGGACAGAAAAACATCCCTCAAGAACATGAGACCCTCCGCCGGCCAAACAGAAGAACGTTCGAGGGTACCCTCCCCCATGCTGCATAAGAGCATCCAACAAACACGAAGAACAGTAGGGTACAGTCAACCAGGATAATAAGGATGCGCGGTAAGGATGCAAGGGCCTTGGAACGCCATGCTGACTTCCGCTGGCCAGCGAAGGCTGCTAAGGATGGGCCGAAGGGGCAAGGATGCAAGGGTACCCTTGCCAAATCGGCCCATCCTTACTATCATGGTTGACGGTACCCTCCCCGAACCGACCTCGACCTTTATACCTCGGTCCGAGAAGTATCCACACACACACACACACACACACACACCCTGGCGCGCAGAGCGCGCCAGGTGCAGCGGGGGCGTCGCTCAGGGGTGGCGGAGAGGGGGCCCGGCGTCGACCCCAGAAGTCCGAGCGAACCTCCGAGCGTACATGCCTGCGCTGCTGCCTGCTCCTCCATGCCCCGCGGGCCTGCTTGGCCAGCTGCAGCACTGGAGCCGGGCCGGGCTCGTCGTGCTCCCACGCCTGGAGGAGGCCCGACTGCTGGACGCCGCCGGGGGCGTGCGGATCCTCAAACGAGGTCTCCGCGGCCCTCTCTGCCACCTCGTGGCCCTCGCGCGCGTGCCCGGCCTCTCGCAGCTCCCTCGCGCGCGCGTGCATCTCTGCGGACAGGCCGTCGGCAGTCTGGTTGCTCGCGCGGGGCCTTCGGGGCTCCAGCCATGGATCCCTCCGGAGGCCCCCAGGCCCGCCCCATGGTACGGTCTGCGTGCCCAGGGTTTCGAGAAACACCAATGGTGGCCACGATGGCGCCCCCAAACGGCCAACATCCTCGGCCCTCGCTCGACCAGGGAAACTCGGAACACCGCCGAGAACCCATCGGTGGCCGTGGTCCAAGTCAGGGGGCCCACACAGGACGTACTCGCCCAACCTCGTACCTGAATGCGGCCCCCCAATCCGCGAGAACAGCCTCGTGTTCCGACCTTTCGCGCGATGTGTACTTTCGAAACCAGCGCAGCTTCACGCACGCCCTTTGCTTGCCCCAGGCAATCCCCCGACTCTGCCCGCCTCCCGCCGAGGAAGCGATGGCAACTCCTTCGCTCCTCGAGGACGAGGGCGTGCCTGGAACGCCCCAGCGTGCCTCCCTCCCCTCGAAGCCCGATCTTCGAAGCCCCCTGCGGGGCCTGTCCCGGCCCGCCTCGCCCGCGACGGGGCCCTTCGGGGCGAGGTGCGGCGGCGCTCCGTGGGGCCCCCGGGGGAGCTGGGCCTGCTCCTCGAGCGGGGACGGCCGCTCCAGCGCCGCACGGCCCGGCACGTCGGAGGGGCCCGCCCACGAGCTCCGGACCGGGCTCGGCCGCCAAG